AAATTCCTTTAGATACTGTCCGCTACAATTGATTATAAAGAAAACACGTATTTATTTTGTCTAAAGAATACTGTCCGCTAAAAATTTAAACATTTCAAAAAAATTGGTAATGAACGTAAGAGTTACCTTAATGTCTTTTGTAACCCAGATCGTATTGATTGTAAAGAAAACACGTATTTATTTTGTCTAAAGACGTCTTTTCTAAGCGAAGACTATAGATAGTTTTCGATTGACCAAGAGTTACTTCCCGTTGGCCGCCATACTGGAGGTCCAAATGCTCATATTCCTTCATTGTTCAACCAATTAAAAAATTTTATATTTGCTATTTTGAATTAGAAATCATTATTTTTCTGAAGTATATGAATTTTTGGAAGCCTCCCTTATTTAAAAAAAATTATTTGATAAAGATTTTCCACCAAATATTTCTTCTATACTTTCTTAAACTTGGTAAGACAAAGAGGGAAAATCACTGAGTCGACCTCCAATATGGCGGCCAACGGGAGGTAACTTTCGCTAAATTCAGGCCTATCGAAAACTATCTATAGCTTGGCAAACTTTCCATAAAATAGTGTTGAATTTATAATTAAAATACTTTTTTATTTTTACTACTTATTCTCTACTCCGAATGATATATTTATAAGTAGTAAATTTAAACAGCATAAACTAAAAAAAACAACATCGACAACAATCTGTTTATTGTCAAAACGTTTATATTTTTCACTCTTTCTCATGATTATTTTATTCCCTAAGAATTTGCCAAATTACGCGGATTTTTTTATGACTGTGACGTAATACTAGCAAAGGAGTCGACGTCATCAAAACATCAAAATTGTCCTTGTGTCCGTTATTAGTAATTTGTAAATTCTTAGCAATAAAAAATTATCTTTAGGAATAGGATGTTGTTTATCATTAAAAAAAATTCAATGCATTCTGATACTTGTAACCAAAAGTTCTGGCGTATCAACTGCACAAATTAGACACAGTTCTGGCAGTAAGAGGGTTAAGCGCCGAGTATAGGACAAAATTTGCAGTGAAACCGGCTCCATAGGGGTGAAAAATTTTCGAGAGGGACGTTAAACAACAATCAGTTAATCAACCAAACGGGGGCCACCGTATTTCAAAAACACATGTATTTTGTTTGCATTTTGTGCGTTCAATTTTTAATTGTCAAATACTTTCATAAGTACATGCATGGGTGAAGTTAGCTGCAGATCTGTAACGTTATGGTGTATATGACGTTATGTTCAAAGACAAATATATAAAACCATAACGCTACAGATCTGCAGCTAGGGTGAAGTGGTTGTCGCAAAACACGGCAAAAATGTACGAATTCTTTCCAATTCTTCTGGAGAAAGAGAGAAAACTATATGCAGACTCCGAATCGTGGCTTGAGACGATAGGGTATATAAAGGTGAATTAAAATTTTGATTTATATAAACATTAGTCTTAATGATCGAAGTCTTCATTTTATTTTAAATTAATATTTTTTTGTTTAATTTTTTGTTTAGTTTTTTTTAATTCACGCATGCCTTATAAATCCAATGTTATGTGTAAAAATCACCTAATGTTTTTGTAGTCTCTGTATACTGTTGTAAAACGGTGAAGAGATTCAAATAAATGAGTGATTGATTTTGAATCATGTCTATATACAGAGAGAGGAAGAGAGAGATGAAAAAAAAAGTTTCCAGAACTTTCTGCAGTGAATTTGATGATCACGTGATTGTGATTTTATATACGTTGTATACAGATGCGTGTTTTATTACGTATACGTGAGAGACAAAATTTACTTGTTTGTTTTTTCGATAATCTATTGTTTTACCATATTTCACAACAAATTATCAATAAACATTCCTAATATCAAATTTAAATTTGTTCATATGATTATTGGAGCTTATGCCCCCCACACCCCTTATGAAGATCACATGACATTACATAAGACATTTGCTCCCGTTCTTCCAGAATGTTCTAGAATTTAGCTTTAGACCTAGACGTCTCAAGCCACGGTCCGGAGTCCGCATTGTAGCTCTCTCCCCCAGAATGGGAGAGGACTGTACATTTTGGCCGTGGTTTGCGACGATGAGATACCGGTAACATACTATATTTGATTTTACGTAATCACTTTGAATACAAAAAGTAAAATGATTACGTTAATCATATTTGATTTTACGTAATCACTATATATATATATAAAGTATATAAAGTGATTACGTAAAATCAAATATAGTATGTGACCAGCCCCTGTTAACCTAGATTTCCAAATAAAGGGAGAATATACATGTGTACTAGTATATGATTCTTGGATTTTTTTAAACAAGGAACATGCGCGGATCTAGAGGGGGGTCGGGGGAGGGGGGGGGTCAGGACCCCCCTGGAATTTCCAAGGTTATTAAATTTATATACAAAAGCAAGAAAAAAGTTAACTTGGACCCCCTCGGAAAACGCAGACTCCCCTGGTTAAACGTGAACTTGTATTAAAGTGGTATAATTTAATTCTGGTTGTATTTGATTGGATAAAAAAATTACTTCTTTTTTTCTTACATCAAATGAATGAAAATTAAATTATATGCAATGAATTTAATAGCTACCCATTTTATACGGTATAAACTGGGTTTAAGCAGTTTACGCTTTTTTATAAACCGCTTCGCGGTTTATAAAGCGTAAACTGCCGCAACCCAGTTTATACCGTATAAAATGGGTAGCTATTAAATTCATCCCTTAAATGAAAAGTTAAAGATTTGAAGCATCAAAAGTCATCGCCCCCCTCCCCCCGTGGTTAAATGTGAACTTGTATTAAAGTGGTATGTCATATCCCCCCCCCCCCCCCACACACACACACACACACACACACGAAATAGCGAAATAGGATTTTGAAGTTTGGGCGAGTTTACGTTTTTTTTTTTTTTTTTTTTTTTTTTTTTTTTTTTTTTTTTTTTTTGTTTTGTTTTGTTTTTTTTTTTTTTGGGTTGTCAAGAAATTTCTGGGTTGCAAAGGGAGAACAAAAAAAAACAAAAAAAAAACAAAAACAAACAAAAAACAAAAACAAAAAATAACAAACAAACGAACGAAGTAAACAGACAAAAGAAATAAAGTAACAAATTAAACATGGGGAGAATTTTCATTTCATTTTAAATGTCTTCAATCTTTTGATATGTTTTACGGAATGAATTTCGTCCGTCTACACTGATTCTGGTTCAACCGTGAGCTTTCCTCTTATTGTTGAACCCAGATTCTTTTGAACCTCAAGACACAAACACGAGTTACTAATTTGTTACTTTTATATAGAATCAGCAAAGAATATACTTTTACATGAGCTTGGGAACTATCAGCACCGAAGGTCTGATTCCAACTGACTATATGTTTTCACAACAAATCATACATACTGAACAAAGACAGAGTAAAATAAAAGGGTTAACAAAAGGTATATAGAAATCAAGTATCAAACAATAATGAGCGAATGGTGACATTTTAGCAGCATGTATATAATAGAAATAAAGATGAAAGATTAAGTGTCAATAAATATAAACAGATGTCAATTAAGGGATTAACTGCATGTCCATCTCTGACTCTGCCTCAGGTGGGATTAAGGCTGTGCGGAATTTATATAATTTATCACATTTGCCGAAATAAAAGAAAAGTTTTGACAACAATTTACACAAAGTCCGAAAAGTTAATTTACACGGTAATTTAAAATAAGTCCAAAAATGTTGTATTTTACACCGTAACATATGTATTAAGATGTCAATATGTTAAGGAAAAATATGAATTTTTCAGTGTTAAAAAAAAATCTATGCAAATCAATGCATGTATTTACCTTACAAAGTGCTTTTGTTATTAATGAAAGTATCATATACTAGTAGTCATTTTCTTTCAATAGATATATAAATTAATCTTTTATCAAACTGCAAATTATAGAAGTTTTTGTTCTCCGTCAAATACCTTGTAAATTAATTGTAACGAATCGAATATATCTTGCATATTTGCAATCAGGATAACCCGATTTTTAATCATCGATGTATCGTGTCAACCAGATATAACCTAAGAGAGACAACCCAAGTACATTTAGAGAATATATTTCATTTAAAACTATAGGTACCATGGGTACTGTGAGCAATGAGCTCACTAAATGATACCTTATGAATATGACAGCAGTGAGAAGCCCAAAATATATGTAGGATCAAAAAGTAAAATAGGAGGTCACAATCACAGGCACCTGACGTTACTTATTTTTCTTTTAATAAAAAAAAATATACACATACCGAATAATTATTATTCGGTATGTGTATATTTTTTTTATTAAAAGAAAAATAAGTAACGTCAGGTGCCTGTGGTCACAATGTATGATAAAAAGATTCTTGCATGTTGATAAACTTTTCGTACATATTGACATTACCTGAAAGGGGGCTGTATCGATATCTGACCGAAATCTTTACAAATTTAGTTGATTCTGCTTATTCCCTTGTTGTTTTACTAATTAACTTTTCTACTTTTAAACCAGGACGTACATACGTCCGGTAATTTTCACAAAAAGGGTTCTTTATCGTGCGAAAAGTTTAAGCATTTTTCCCAAAGTCTATTTATTTCTTTTTAAATTGTTAAAGTTTTTAGTTCTTTAAAAGTAAAGTTAAATAATTTTACAATTTTTTAAGGAAAATTTACCTCCAGTTTGAAAGGAAATGTGAATATTTTATATAATTGTATTTTCAAAAATATATTTTTATATCTTTATTAAGCATTTATTTACATTAAAAAAAAATATTTTTATCTTTAAAGATAGATAACTTATAGCTAATCTAGTAAGTAAAGTCACACTGGTGTTTTTGTCTTCTTATCGCAGGCATAAGAATTAAGGATGCTCCGGGTAAAGTATAATCGTTACAATTTTCTGATATCGAGATATTTATCTAAAGCATGATTTTCGAGAAGGTTTCACTTTTGATGGCGGTAAAGATTAACACTGGTTCTCTGCCCCTATTCCTTCCTTTATAAGGGAACCGGATAAAATGAAAGTAGAAAGTCAACAATCACAGCCACGCGCGTCTTGTAGAACACTCAAAGTTTCCTGTTTTAGTCAATGTCTCAAATGAAATGGCAGAAGGATTATGAAGTAAAACTTATTTATCCATGCAGAACTGCTAAGTTATTGATAATTCTTACAGTTTTAAACGCGTTTGTTTGTTTTATATCATCCAAAGTGGGCCTGAACGAACATGGAATAGAATGGGTAAGCACACACCGGGAAGGTTTAAAAAAATAAGTTAATCACACAAAGGTGTGTTTATTTAAATAAATGAATTCATAATATTTTCATATATTTTAACAGTTATTATTTATCATTAACAGATTCTGGCCTCTCATGTTGGTGTGGCAACCTTGGCATGTCTGTTGGTTTTCAAATTTGAGAGTAAATCTGGTACGGCCATCCGGTTTTGTTTACATTTCGGAAAGAATGACTGCACTTAACCTATGAGAGTTGGATCCCGATATTTTGCGCAAAATACATTAAACAATATCTTAAGAGAAGGTTTTGGTATATTATATAACATGAAAGTATTAAACAATGCCGAGCGACACTAGCTTTTGAGATGGGGGTCTAATAGTTTTGTCTCATTTCTATTGTTATTCATATGCATACCAGTTTTCAACGACTTTGTTTACATCGAGCCGCAACTTGGCCATTTTTCTTATTTGCACAGAATGTGTATTTTAACTTAAACATATACATATCCAAAGGACAATGTTGGCCAAGTTGCGGCTCATATCTAATTAAAAAAAAAATGTCCCCAAACTAGGGTTGAGATAGCTACTAAATTAACCGGTCACCGTGCATCAACGATTGATATTATAATATTTCCATTTCTAATTTTTATCTCTGTGATAACTGTTTGAAAGTTGGGGGAATTTATTTCTTGATAATTCTGCCGGAATGTAAATTAGGCAGGTCGATAGGTCAGCAGCTAAGGAGGCCTAATCCGCATGCAAATCTTGTGCGCATCTGTCTCTGTGTCTGACGCTAAGGAGTCCAAATATGCATGTAAATCTCGTGCGGCTGCCTTTGTGTTTGACGTCAGTGTACAAGAACTATTGAAATTGGCATGGAAGTCCTCGTGTAATTTAAATCTATTAGTCTACATTTTTAATGTCTAAGTCTACAATTTTATTTCACAATGAAATGGAAATATAAGGAATCACTGTCTAGTTTTAAGAGTATGCCAGGGACATCAACAATAGTGGGAAACATGGGATAATTTTAGCATAACGGGCTTCGCCCGTTATGCAAATTATCCCATGTTTCCCACTATTGTTGATGTCCTGGCATACTCTCAAAACTAGACAGTGATTCCTTAAATCACTTTAATCACGTGACATTCTGCTGTTTGATAGGCTAACGCTTTCATTGAACATTTCATTGTGTTTAAGTCTCTGTTGTGACAGTATCTATCGTACTTCCAACTTCAAACTATGGGATATTTTTGCGCAAATATTAATAGGGTTTGAAGATAATATGTCTCTTATTTAACTTTATGCTTTACGTACATTAGAGGTGTTTTGAAAGAATTCTGGTATTGACAGTGTCAATAGTAAGTACATGTATAGGCTTATGTCGCCTCTGTATTATGGTCTGTAGAGCGAGACATCTACCCCGTCCCTTCACATTAGAATCATTTAATAATTGTGCACCATAAAATCAACAAGATCTCTCTCTCTCTCTCTTCTCCATTTAAATTCGTAGTGCGAAAAAATCATATATGCTAATGTTTACATTCCACAACCATGCGGTTTAAATGACTCCGCCTATTTGCGGATACCTTAGATTCGAAAGTGGTCCTGTTCAAATTTCCGGAATTTAAGGCTTTTACATGTTCTTTTCAGTTACATTTTCTGTAATTATAGAAATATGTATGACAAAAAATTCTAGAAATAAATATCAAAAGCATATGCTTGCACATTAATCATAGATTAATTTAGCGATATATTGTAATGTTAAGCTTAAAATGGGTAGCCGAAAAGGTTCCAACACTCATAGCTTAAGTGCAGTCATTCTTTACTGATATTCCATACATACTTCTTTCGTATATACCAATCTTTTTTTTTATTTTCAGATTGACACTAAGCGTGATCATGAAGCAACCTCATATTCGCTAGCCAAGGGATTCGATCTGATACGCTGCTCTCCTCATACTAGTAATCATGAGGAGCGTATCAGAAACCCTTGGCTAGCGAAGATGGCAGCAACCTTAGAAATAATGAAATTTTATGTTGATTTTTTGTTTTTTTTAACAGAGAGCATGTTAGTAGTGCCAGCAGTTGGAATCAATGTTTCCAGTGTTAACAGATTGGGGCAAGTAAATACAGAGTTCTTTCCAAGGCAGCTTGTTCAAGATGTAGTGATTGTGGAAGCTATAATCATGGTAAAATTTTATTTTTGTATCCTTTCAAGGGTAAGTAAGTAAAGTGGGTTGTTTTCTCCATAACTGAATGCTCATGTTGGTCTTAATATTCAAGCATCTTTCTTGTGTGGTTTCAGAGACCCAGAGAGTTAGAAATAGAATGGGACCATAATGCATAGAAATCTTTACACTGTATAAATCTTACAAAAAAACAAAAGGCCAATGTTTTGCTGGTGAACAGTATAAGCCACTTTGTTTTATATTGTTATGGCTCTGCAGCTATAAAAATACCCAAATGCAGAAAGGATTACAAATATTTTCCTTAGTGTTTGATGGACAGGCAGGTTCACCTTCCAAGAGCAAATGGCTTGAGTTACTACAGGACTTCTTTAGAGTTCCAAAACATACTGGTTTGATTGTTTGCCCCCCCCTCCCCATATACTATGGCAATGCTGCTTCCTGGAAGTGACTTCTATTGTGTTTTTTTAAGGAGGGAGGATTGTGGTAGATATTAGAAGGAGGCGAGCTGGGGAAGGGGGGGGGGGGTTTAATCCTGATCTTGTCCATCACATTCTCTACCTTCCTGAACAAATTTGAATTATCAGTAATATAATTTGAAAAAAAAAATTATTTGTTGAATGATTTATTTAATTATTACTGCTTTTATTCTCTTTTTAACAGCAGAGGTTGGCCACATATCTTGCAATTCTTTATCAAGACCCTACTTCAGGCCAGAAGAAAATAAGGCCAATGTTCTTGGTAAGCAGAGTATTTTGTAGATATATACTTATACAAAAAATGAAACTTGCATAAGCCCTTTAGTGACCAAACTTATAGTTGAAGCATCTATGGATGCACTCTACAGATTTACTTCAGATATTGGATCATTTTTGATCAGGTTCATTCCCAAGTCCTATCAGAACCAAAATTGCTTGGACGATGCATCAGGGATGCACACTACCAGATTTGCTTTGGGTGCTAGATCAAACTTACTTTGATGATGTGACTGCTAATTTTGATAATTGAAATATTTTTTTAGAAACATTTTCAAGAAACTATAAATTCTAACACAACGAAACTTGCTGTTGTATGCTTGTAGCAAAGAGAATTTTTCACTTTTAGAGTATTATATTGATGAGAAATATTACCTGTATTTATAGATGACATTTATTGAGGAGAGTTTTGTAATCTTTGATATGTTTTATTTAATTGTAGAAATCCAGATTAAAAATAGATGAATTAAAGTCAATTTACCAGAAAGTGCAGAAGAATCTCAATTTTGTATCAGAAAAGAAGAGTTGACCAAGGCTGTAATAGGAATTTTAAAGTGAACAATCTAGAGCTCTACAAACACTTTCGCTATTTTTTTGTCTTCATAGTTGAAGGCTAGGAGGCACATAGCTTTTGGCCTGTCTGCCTGTTTATTTACAGAAACTCTGCTATAAGTTTTGTTAGAGCTTGTGTATTCCTATTGCCAAGACATTTCTTAAGCTGATGTATCAAATTTTAATCATTTTAACGTTGGCCTTGCAGTTTCACCCAGTTTTTCAGTAATTTACAAAATAACATTGGCTATTACTGTAGATTCCTAATTATACGCGAGGATTTAATTTCCGCGTAATTTCGCGAGAAGCATCACTCGTGAAAAAATATTACTCGCTTTTATTAGCTCACCTGAGCCGAAGGCTCAAGTGAGCTTTTCTGATTAAAATTTGTCCGTCGTCTGTCGTTGTCGTAAACTTTTCACATTTTCATCTTCTTCTCAAGATCCGCTGGGCCAATTTCAACCAAACTTGCCACAAAGTATCCTTGGGTGAAGGGGATTCAATTTTTTTCAAATGAAGGGCCACACCCCTTTTCAAGGGGAGATAATTATGAATTAGAGAAAAATTAATGGCTTTTTTAAAAAATCTTCTTCTCAAGAACCACTGGGCCAGGAAAGATGAAACTCATATGGAATCATCCTCAGGTAGTATAGATTCAAGTTTGTTCAAATCATGACCCCCGGGAGTAGGATGGGGCCAAAATGGTCGATCAAAGTTTTACATAAGAATATATAGGAAAAATCTTTAAAAATCTTCTTCTCCAGAACCACTGGGCCAGAAAGATGAAACTCATGTGGAATCATCCTCAGGTAGTGTAGATTCAAGTTTGTTCAAATCATGATCCCCAGGGGGAGGGTGGGGCCAAAATGGCTGATCAAAATTTAACATAGGAATGTACAGGGCAACCTTTTAAAATCTTCTTTTCAAGTATTTCAAAGCCATGATTAGTAGTATTTATATGGAATCATCCTCAGGTAGTGTAGATTCTAGTTTGTTTAAATTATGATCCGGGGGGGGGGGGGTGGTTAAAATTTAAGCCCCCACCCACCTCAGTAAACTTTTAGTTCTGATCTGATATGTGCTTTTTCCTAGCCGATGCACTCAGGTGAGTGCTGTGGCCCCTAGGCCTCTTGTTTTTATGGTGCTGAAATCTATGTAAATTCTGTTAATCAACCGTCCATTCGCGAATTATAATTCTCACAATTTGACGTTAAAGAGCCAGTTTGCGATAAAAAGTACTCGCGAAAAATAAGGAATCTACAGTACTTTTAACAAATGGTGCTACAGGTAAAACTTTTTTTGTATTGATAAGAACTTAATTAACTTTATGCCATTATTTCTAACCTTTTGATCTTCACCTTGGAGTTTGAAAAACTTCAATCATTAGCGATAAGTCTTAGGGTGCTAAGGCTTTCTTATTTTACTGCTTATACATGTACCTTTCCTTTGATTCCAACATCTGTGACCTTTCGACAATATTTTGATCTTTTATTCTTAACCTTGGCATTTGACTAAATTTTTAAAACCTTGGCCATTATTTCGATCAATGGCTTTCATATTTCTGTTTTTTAGCTCTACTATAATAGTAAGGAATCTGTTGACCATCCGTCTATCTGTCCGTCCATTGTCTTTAAACAATTTTTCAATTGCTACTCCTCCTACAGTTTTGCTCTGATTTCAATATTACTTGGCACGCACGTAGACTACAGTAAGATACATAGTTCTATATATCGATTTTAGATTTTGATGAATGGTATTGGCATGGTTACTAAAAGTAGAAATTTCTTTGAAATAAATTAAAAATGCTGCTCCTACAGTTTTGGTCTTGTTACAATAAATCTTGCCAAGAAAAAGACTAAAGCAATGTTTTTTTTTTTAAGTATGCTGTTGCAAAGTTTCAAGTTCAAATGCTAACTTTCTCTTCCTTTGTTTTCAGTATAAAACAAGTGGAACTAATAAGTCTCTGACAATACCTTAATTTCTTTGACTAACAAGATATTGGATCTGCATCTTGGATTCTGACTTGCATTTGTTTAACCTTGACCAAGCTGTTATCTTTAATATGTGTAGGGCATCATGTTTCACAAACACATGTATTGTTATTTTTGTTAATGAACAATATTATTATTATTATATATAGTAGTCTATTTTATTATTTAGTGTTTCTTTTTCATTTGATTGTCAATATGCTCTCCCACCTCATTTGTACTTTTATACATCTTTATTTATTGTATTAAATATAATTAGAACACTAATGTGGATTTATTTTGATGATTATACTGTAAAATCACATATTTTTGAGGGGTCAAATTTTTGTGGTTTTATACAGGAAAGAAAATGAGTTGGTAGGATTTAATTTCGTGGATGAAGAATTGTTAATAAGTAGTAATATCTGTGAAAAGTCACATTTCATGGTTGACATAAATTCATGGGTCTCTTAATACCTCGAGAACCACGAAAATAAAACCCCCACTAAAATTAGTGATTTCACAGTATATATAACATTCACAGCAAGTTATGTGGAGTTCCTGGGATATGGTAAGGTGAGTCTAATGCAGGGCCATCATCAGGTTTCTTAAAAGGGAGTGGGAGGTGTATGGAGGGTGGGGTCTGGGTTGGGTACCCCCTCTTGTATTCAGAATGGGTATAAATTTTAGGGTTCTGGTGACAGGTATCCCTTTATGAAATGAGTAATTGTAGTTTTGGTGCTTTTTTGTAGTCAAAAAGGATATTTTCAAGTTTTTTGTTTGTTTCAGCTGCTTAATATAGCTGTTGCATACAGTATTTTCAAGTTTGTTCAAATCATAGTAGATCTAGGCGAAGCCTATCCACTTCTCTAAAGAGAATAGGGCTAACCAAATTACATAAAACGTTAAAGGAAAGTTAGGGAAATATTTCTTCTAAGTTGTAAGAACTTGTTACCCATTAATCCCTTTGTATGATTTAATTATATATTCAATAAAATATGTTCAAAACAAAAAAATATTTGAGGTCTTAGCCCAAATTTTCAATGCCTACAATTTTAAAGTTGAAAGTGTATCTAAAGTATACAAATTGAATATATGTCGGAAACAAATTTGAACAACTTGTCTAGATTCACCCGTTTGTGAAATCGTCAACCATTGGAGAACTTTGACCAATCAACGGAAGCCATGCAACTCTTCTTCAAGATGGCGGGAAAAATGTAAACAAACCCGAACAACCACTGCATTGCATTTTAATTAAGAAAAATGTTGGCAGAAAAGGCTTTAGATCTTCTTCGAGAATTACAAAGGACATTGGATGGATCTTTACCACCATACAATGTTTGTTTGATATGAAAAATTGCATCTCTCTTGCAAGTTCATCTTGCGTTGTTCGATCTTCATCTTGTCTAATCCAAACAGGGACCTATGAGTATGTACACAAATATAGTATATATATAGGTCCCTGATCCAAAACACAAATTATTTACATATTTTTTAGTATGAATTATTCTTACTTCACGTCATTTTTCGTAAAATTAATTATGGTAATTTATGTTGCATGTGTTGTCAGTAAGCTGAGCCAAGTATTTAGGTGTAACACTACAGTCAAATCTAAAGTGGAACACACATTACAATAATATTATTGCAAATGCAATTAGATCATTAGGTTTCCTGAAACGTAATCTAAAAATTTCAAATACAGACGTAAAATCCAGAGCCTATCAAGCAATAGTGCGCCCTAAACTAGAGATATTGTAGTTAGAATAATCTAACTGTGTCTCGGTACAAGCCCTCACCACAGTTAGAATACCGCCTATATACTCGTAATGTAGCAAAAAATTGCAGAATCGCACCGAAACGATTTTGAAGGATACAAACGGATTTGCACTGAAAATAACTTGCAAATTAATCATAACAAACCTTTTTGAGATTGCTTATGCCTTTTATCCCAAAAAAACAATCCATATAAATACGAAAATCCCATTCATTTTCTCAACGTTATTCTCTCGATTCAAATTACCTCCATGTTTACATTCGGAACTCTCAAGATTGTTCCTAGTAAATGCACTATGCGAGTTATCGCCCGTGTTTCTTTCTGCTACATTACGAATACACGGAACGAATTCTATCGTTAAACCGGGTCCGTAGGACAATATCATTTTAACGATAGAACATTCTATCTAGAGATATTGTAGTGTTTGGGATCCACATACAACACAGTATAGACAAAAACTTGAAATGGTACAGAGAAGGGCTGCTTGCAATGTGCATAACAATTACCACAATACCAGTAGCTTAACAGACATGATTAGTAAACTACAGTGGCCAACACTAGCTGAGCGACGCCTCAAAACCAGATTAATATGTTTTATAAAGTAGTCAATCAACTTGTCGCTATACCAACGTACATACTCATACCTACAGACACAAGAACTAGACAAAATTACACACAAATATACAGACACTTACAAGCATCAAAAGAAACATACAAATGGTCCTTTTTTTCCTCAAACAATGATACAATGGAATTTGCTCCCCCAGTCTGCTGTCCAAGCCACTAACGTTGACATTTTTAGAGAACAGCTAACCCAGCTGTTCTCAACATTATCATGTAAAAAGTAAACAGTCAAATTTTTCTTTTAATCACTAGTGTAAATAAAAGCACATTTTTTTTTCTTTATATTGTTTCTATTTATATAAGCTTAGGTCATGCATGCGCACCAACAAGTAATCTTCAGTACTCTGAAGTTTTGTTGTTAAACAGAAGAAGATTTGATATTTTAAAAAAAATATAGTAAATTTTTGCACCGACTAATAAATTTAGTTTCTTGATGATACGTGTTAACTGTCAAGAAATCATATGACACATATTACACATACATACAGTGCTTTGAATTTGAATGATTTATGTTTTATTTGTTTTTTAAATTGAATAGGAGGATGCAATCAGACAAATCTTAGAAGAAATGAAAGCACTTTTTGAGCAGAACCAGAAAGACGTGTAGGTAGCCCCTATGGTATTAACATTTATCTCAACACTGAACATAGATTTTGCTTGGCTAGATATTTGGACTGATGACTTCTTCAAATCTCAGGACAGTTCATAATAATTTGTGTGGAAATTCAGTCTGAGCTTCATAAGTTGTCGAGGTTAAAATCAGAATATACCTGTGTCTCACCCGCTTCTTTTCTTCTCCTCAAACATCCTTTTAATTCTTCATTGCTTATTTAACATCCATTACAGAAAGGTATAATATTGATTATTCCAACAATTTCCCAGCTGTTGTGTTAGTCCAAATGTCTAGCAAAGTCAAATCCCTGTCAAGATCCATATACATTGTACTACAGAAATAACAATGGTTTGGGGAGGAAACTTCATAATGTGCTGACATGTAAATCTTTGTTCATTATCATCGTATAAAGATAAAATTGTCTAGCAAAGCCAATTTAGCTAAATCTCCACCAAGAATCATTTACAACAGAAGTGCATTACATATATGTGCTGACATGTAAATCTTTGTTCATTATCATATATAAAGACAAATTTGTTGTATACAGGAGTGCTACAATTGCTGGAGAAAATGGTCTGTATTCTGGTGTACAACTAAGGCATTCTGCTCTGGAGCGTAACAAACGATGTCTTCTTGCTTATTTGTGAGTATGAGCAGTCAAGCATAACAAGTAACATATATATTTATAGCATATATGATAAAATGCAACATTTCTTTGGAAAAAAATTCTCCATCAGGGCTCGACATTATCACTTGTCCGCTACCAATGAAAAATAAATACGGACAAGTGAATATTGTTGGGCATTTGTCCTATTGGACAAGTGCATTTCAATGTAAAGGAGTCTCTATATAATAAAAAGAACGACTGTTGAAAGTTAAATCAGTAGTTTCAAGACGAAAGCTTTATTTTAAAATCCAGACTTCGATCCCGATATGTATCGCTATTAGGGATGTCAATTTTACTCGGACTTCTTAGTCGAATAGTCTGATGCTTTAGTCGAACGATAGTTGAATATTCGTTTAATTTTAATTATTTTTTCATATCATTTTCACTGTTTGTCTTTTACAGACTAGTTTACAATATACCACGCTATCACCATTATACAAGGAATTTCTGAATTGTAAACATGTACGTAGTAGAATTATAAAAACTGTTCATCAATATGTATCCAAAATTAATATATAAGCTGCACATTTTATCTAAATGCAGGATATCAAACACTCGTATTTGTCCTTTCCTTACATAACGGTAGTACATGTACCCCATAATTGAAGCCAATTTCTACGTGTCTGTCAATGATCTTTGACAGGTAAACAATTAAAGCGTGTCTCTTATAAAAACAAAGAGAGAGCGAGAGCTTGGGATAAAATTTAATGAAATTTTGTGCAAACAATCAATTATTGTATGAAATTAATATCAGAAAAAGAAAACACGGTTTAATTACTCTCATAACTGACTCCAATTTACATGTATTTACGATTTTGTAATAGTAATTTTTTTTTCTGAATAGTTGTATCACGTCAGATCTTGGTTTGAATTTACAAAACTAAACAATTGCCCTCTACTTTTAAAACAGTAAAAGGTAGACAATCATTAACAAACATGTTTGATTTTCTTTCCCAGTCCATTTTTTTTATTTGGTCATTTTTTGGGGAGAACTTACTTTAGGAAAGTTTCACTTAAAGACTGTGTATACATGTATGTTTGACTGATTCGGCATATGATCCTTCATCATGTTTGATGTTACACTGCAGAATTCAAAATTACTTTGATGAAACACATTTTTAACGAAGAACCGACGAAAGAAATTTTAGTCGATAGTCGGTATGATCGAACGATAGTCGAGTACTCGAATATTCGTTGACATCCCTAATCGCTATATTTTAATTTAGTTCACATTCGATCGGGATCGAAGTTTACTAATTGCATACTACTGAAAAGTCATGGGATACGAACCGAAGTGTGGATTGTTTGATGCTGACAGGTTCACTTGTGGATATTTATGTTATTGTCAGGACAGAAAGCCTAGATTAAATTTCGTTTTATGTGTTTGTTGTATTTATCAATAACATCACGAATCAACCAAGCACATGACATGTGTAATGGACTTTATTTTAATTTTCAAGTTGAAACTATTGAAGTTTATTGAAAAATTTTCGGACAAGTGAAGTTGAAGTTCGGACAAGTAAATGTCTTGGTCACTTGTCCGAATGGACAAGTAGGGAAAAAAGTTATCGTCGAGCCCTGTCCATGGGTAATTAGCAAGGGTTACTGTCGTATCGCCCCAAAACCTGAACGCCCCATGTATGAGCGCCCCAAAAATTTTTACCGGCGCCCAAGTACAAATATGAGCGCCCCAAATATTAATAACGAGCGCCCCAAACGTATTTCACGAACGCCCCAAATTAGCATTTCGAGCGCCCCAAATAATTTGGTCACAGATACACATGCAGGTGCTCGTCTAAATATCAATTTGTTTACTTTTCCTTCTTCAAAGAAATCTGGTGAAATATTCTTTTAAATTATCAAGTTTTATTCGTGTAATTAAAGGTAATAGTACAGTCATTTGTATTACAGTCACAGCACGACCGTAATCCCAAATAAAAGGAGAAACCCCCCCCCATATTTTATCAAATACCGGCTATATGAAGTGATTTGAATTAATTTGGCGATAAAGCATGATAATATTGGGGGGAAATAAAACATTTTAAATAAAGTCTTACAAATTGTGATAGTTGCTTGAACAAATCTGCGTCATGAAGTCTTTGAAATACAGTATTTTTTTCCTTTGTGGAAATGCAGATAAGTGCCTAAAATGCGTTTATGTATAATTTATTTTTGTAATTAATTTCTAGATGTATTCATTTTAATTTACACGCATGATCCGTCTGTGCATGTTTGTTATATAATTCACATGGAAAGGTGGTATAAGTCGTCGAAGGATCAGAATTACAGTGTATGTTTGTTGAACTGGGTATCTGAAATTATGATAACTGTGTATACACAGACTACAAATCCCAATGATCTAGTGACAGGTGTGTAATATTATGTAGCATTACATAATCAGGTACACAAGAAGCAACGAAAGCGCACGGCACATGCACTATACTAAGGATAAAATGCGATTTTGAACCTAATCTACATCATTAAAATTAGTAAAAAAAAAAATTAATAGATAGATGACTTTGGGTAGGTTAAATGATGTATAATTTTTTGTATTCTTATAATTTTTGTTGTATATTTATTACTGACAGATTCTAAATAAATTTCGTAACTCTTATTAAAAAAAATTGCAACCTACGTAGACGATTTAAAAAAAAGTAGGTACTTGGTATCTTGAATAGTTTAATTTACCGATTTACAGGAGATATAAGGTATAAGACCACATGTTTCTACAATGAATATGACAGCTAGTCTAAAAACTTTTCTGGTTATTATTACATAGTTACTGCAGAAATACACATCGGTGTTTAAGTCTATTCTATTCGTACAGTGTATTTCCTCTTTGTAAGATCCTTATTAGCACTGAATAAATCAAAAAAATTAAAAAAATCAAAATAAATTACGGCTCGTGAATGCACGTATAAATATGAATTCCATTTGTTTAGTACGTTTACATTTATCTTCATATAAGCTGGTTTACAATTCTTGGGGCGTTTTTATCGCAAAACTTGAAGCACTCGTGATAAACAACTGATAAATATCATTCGGGACGCTCGTGAATAATAATATATTTTTTAAATCTAATAAATTGTAATAAAACACGCATCAAAGACAACAGATTGATTCTTTACTAGTTAATTTAAGCCTTGGGGCGCCCGAAATGCTAATTTGGGGCGCTGGTGAAATACGTTTGGGGCGCTCGTGATTAAGATTTTGGGCGCTCATATTTGTACTTGGGCGAAGGTAAAAAATTTTGGGGCGTTCATGCATGGGGCGTTCAGGTTTTGGGGCGCAGTGACTAGCACCCATTAGCAATTATACTTAGTACAATGGTTATGATAAGTAAGTGTGCCTTTTTTCGGAATTTTTCGGCGCCTGGGGCAGGGCTTCTGGTGTTAGGATGGGGCTATATTAAATCGATTTAGTAAAAACACATTTCTTTGAAAACCCTACTCTGCTACAGGGAATCTTAGACGGTAAATAAAGTATATAAAGATGTAATGAGAAATGGTACTTTTAGCAAAATTTTCAAATTCTGCACCTTTTAGTCAAATGATTTGAATTCTAACTAGAGGTACCGTGAGCAATGAGCTCACTAAATGATACCCCCCGCCTCCCATATGAATATAATGGCAGTGTCCATGTTTTGCTCTGGAAAATCCAAAATATATGTCAGATCAAGAAGTAAAATAGGAGGTGCACAATGGCAATATGTATTAATACACTCTGTTGTTGTTGCAAAATTATTTTTTTCTCATCTTTGATCATCTTATTTCTTTTGCCTTTTTTTGGTAAATATTAGATACAACAGATTAGAACAGATCAGGAGAATGCGTTGGGAGTTTGGGAGTGTTCTGCCTCCAGAGGTCAAGTTCAACATGTGTGAACAGGAGGTAGGATCCCAAACTGTAGAATACTCAAAATAAAATTATATTTCAAATTAAGTAAAGTATTACTAATTATACTACATATTTTTAATGCACATTTTTACAACAATGAAGCATAGTCTTTACAAAAAGTCTACCACACGAAGTTGGAGAAACCATAATTTCAGACGCAGAAGTCAGTTTGTTCTTCAGATGTGTCATTATTATAGTTCATTATATTTATTTTCAGATCCAGTGGTTTAGCAAGTATAACAAGATGCTGGCTACTTACATGAGGTCTATAGGAGGAGAAGGAGGATTAGATCTTACTCAGGACCTAAAGCCCCCTAAAACACTGTATATAGAGGTAACAGAACTATTATAATACAGGGGCTTGTTTCACAAACATTTCCTAAGATATGTCGTAGGACATAACTTGAGATATGCCTAAGTTATAACTTAGGAAGTTCCTAAGATTTGTCACAGCCGTTTCACGAAACAATCTTATCTTAAATTTTCCTAAGTAATTTCTTAAGTTGTGCATAATATAAAGACTACTGAAATAACTTCTCCGCTCTATCTATAACTCAGTATGTCAGTATGGGTTATATTTCTTCAAAAAGGGAAGGGCGGGAGGATTGGGGATTACCCCCACTTTCAAAAGACTTGTACAGAAGTATGTTTTAACTTTGCGAAGGTTGCTGGTAGAACTAAGCATTCAGAGACACAACCTTTCAAGCCCTCTTCCCTTCCGGGCACACGATATATGTATTTATTTAAACATTGTTCTACGTGTTACACGTTAACTTATTTTGCTCTTTATAAGGTAAAATACTTGTAAATGAAATTTGTAGTGAACACATGCACATGTGAGGGCATTTTTAAAAAAAAAATCTTTGCCAATGACTACTCCACATTAGTTATTTGTGCTGTGTAAAGCTTTCTCATATATATAAAATAAGAATGCCATGTCAGAAAAAAAATCCCAAATTCGTGACAACAGACATGAAAATACTACCGGTAAACAAAAAGGTTAATAAAGGAAATCTATTGAAATCTCATGCATAGCTAGCCTATACATTGTATTAAGCGGAGAGGGAGTCTTGTTTTAGACTCATGGCTGTAGGAACTGAAGGAGCCCGGGGGGATGGGGGGGGGGTGATTAATTATTTTACCGATGCATAGAATACTATAGACAAACAAAACGAAACTGCGTTATGCTTGTGTCCCCTCAATAATAATGTTCTAGAGGAGATTAGATGCAACCATTCTTGGGGGAAACATCTATATATCCGGAGCTTGGTTGGGGGTTTATCAAGAATCCTGTACTTATAGAATGTGAACAAGTGTTTCCATTTATCTAAAATATCATTTTTCAAATTCGAATTTAATATCAATTAAAATACTAGTAATATATGAAAAGATATATATACATGTAGATAAAAACATAATGCATACATGCATGTATATAAAAATGGATCAAATCATGTGCTTTTTTTTTGTTAACAAAGGCGTGCTCTTCAAATGATGAGGAATTATTCCAGCATGTGTACATTTATTTCGACAGCTCCAGTTTTGTGAATGGACATTTTAATATACCTTGGACTCATTTTTACACATGTTTGCCAATTATTGAAATCCTAGTACTGTGTTATTCCATGTAAAGTAAAGCAGTTTTAACCTGGAGAGAACACAGTCATCCATATACTAGAAGTCCATTGGATTTTCTCTCCTCAAACACATTCTAGCTCTCCATAAGAAATCTTGGATATGCAGCTGCAATATTTAGTTTCTTCCTAAGTCATCAATTTACCTGTCCTAAAGTTACGACATAACTTAGGAATATCTTAAGATAAGACGAGGTTAGTGAAACGGATAAGTAATGAATTTAGGAAAAAGTTCTTTCCTAAGATAGAACATAGTCATAAGTAGGCTTTGTGAAACGGGCCCCAGGACCTCAAGCACCCCCCCCCCCCCCCAACACTTTACATAGAGATGACAGAGAAATTATAGGGATACTTATTAAAATTCAAGACATTGCACACCAGCAAAACACTTTACATAGAGATGACAGAGAAATTTATAGGGATACTTATTACAATACAAGACATTACTCACCAGCAAAACACTTTACATAAAGGAAATACATCTTCGCTAGCCAAAGGTTTCTGATACGCTACTCTCCTAATAATCCCTTGGCATACGGTGTTGATAGAAGTTGAATTTTTTTTTGATCGAGTTCTGATTGGGATTTGGTACACCCGGGTCGACCAATCAGCAATTGTTTTTTGTAAATGACGATATTTGCGTTCGGGATACTTTTTGACTCTTTAATCTCGGAAATGAAAAACGCAAGTAAACAATGATCCATAAGATAACATGCAATTCTATGAATAGCTATCGTGTCATCCAATATCTTCTAAATATGTGATTAAAAATCTATATTGAAGCTTCAGATTTGTACTATAAATAAAAGCATAACTCAATTATTGCTTTTTAATTATTTTTGAAAAAAACTTTGATTTAATTTTTTTTTAAACATGTGTCTTTATTTCTGTCGATGATGCAATCTGTGCGTACCTGATAGACTCAAGATCACGTGACGAAAGCAATCCCATCTTTTGACTTCACCGTATGCCAAGGGTTTATGAGGAGAGTAGCGTATCAGAAACCCTTGGCTAGCGAATGTGAAGGAAATAAAGAATAAGAACTATTACAACACAAGCATCCCAAGCTGCCCCCCTTTCCCACTCCTCAAATTTACAAAGAGGTTATAGAAGACAGATAGAGCTACTTATTACAATGCAAGACAACAAGCATCCCAAATTACTTTGCATAGTGGTGGCAGAAAAAAGAGCTATTGATCACAATTCAAGGCAAAAACACCCAAAACATTTTACAAACAGATCTCAGAACACACATATACAGCTGCTTAATAAAGGACATGACATGAAACCCTCAAAACACAATCTCAACACCCCTCCTCTTCCTTCACCTATTTCAATTCTAAATTCACCCAAAACTAGATCACTGGTACAAGAGGTATATATATATAAACAAAAATTATAATAATTTTTAACATTGAAACACGGAAAGAGTCATTTATTACATCTGACACCAATTTGTACAACTTTTTAATTTACCATATCTAAATTAAGTTCAATACATCTGACAGATGAATATTTAATTTTACCTCGTCTTAAATGAAACAATGCATGAAAATTTTAAAAATATTTTGTGTTGCGTCTGCTTTTTCCCAAAAAGCATAAAAATATTTTTTTTAATAGAATATCTTGGCTTTAATAATTGTTTGTTATTTGAAGGTGAGATGTTTAATGGACCATGGGGAATTTGAAACGCAAGATGGAAATATTCTGTTGTTAAAGAAGAATAGTCAGGTATCTATTTTTTTTTTTTTTTCAGATAATTACAAGTACTCCTTACAAGATTGATAAGAGATTGATTCTGAAGCTATTGTCCTTGTACCCTTTAAGTGTGTCAAACACTTCAATTTAATTCTTTTGACAAAATCACTGAAATATCATTTTCCTCAAACTCTTCTTCTATTTTACACTGTGGCAAATCCATCCATTGGATGTCCTGGAGATGTTGAATTTTGTTTCAAAGTTTTCATTTTCCACATCCACACAAAAAAATAAAGAAAGAAAAAAACCCCTGAATTATTAGGGTCTGTCCTTCCGATCTCTTGTCCGGAGTATATCTTATCTCTCCTTTGCCCAATCTGACATACTTCACCCACAGAGTGTCTTTGGGTAAAGGGCATGCAGTGACCTTGAACCATATTCCTAGGTCAAAAGTTAAGGTCATAGCAGAATTATGTGAAAAATCCTTGTCCGAAGCATATCTTATCTCCCCTTGGTCCAATGTGACTCATACTTCACTCACAGAGTGCCACTGGTCAATGGAAGTGCACTGATCTGGAACAAAGTTTCTAGGTCAAGGATCAAGGTCAACTGTTTTCAGCTTCCTTACATTTTTTATGTTCATTACTGAAAGCGGGGTACCTTTTAGATGGTCATCTCAATGATATCTAGTTCTAGAAAAGTTGCAAGAAAATTTTCATTTTACACAATATGCAGATCATCATTTAGAATGTGACTAGGAGTGTCCTGCAATCGGATTAAAATAAGATGTTAGATCCGCTCGCATACTCGCTTCACTAAAATCTAACAACGTCCCATAGAGGGTCATGTCAGAGGTCAAATTCTATCAACCAATCAAATTTTCGCCTGCAAAATCATCGTTTATTGTTGAAGCGAATTATTCTAGAGCTGTTATGAATTTGACATCTGACGTAACCCTCTCTGGGATGGTTTTAGATGTTAGTGTAGTGAGTATGCGAGTGGATCTAACATCTAATTTTAATTAGATTGCAGTGTCCTGTAGTTACTGAATATTCTTGTTCATGGGAGCTGAATTTTTTTTTCTTCTAACCAAAAAATTCTTTCATAAACCTCAATAAAATAATTCTTAAGTTTCAGGCTGGTTATATATGTAAATTATGTGCATTATGGAGTTATAATTGTTGCCTCTGTGGTAGTTACCCATGTACAGTGTATATTCAAGAGGAATCAAGTTTCATACACTTAAGTACAGGTGTTTCTTTTCCCCCCAAATTTTGTTTAACAAAAATATTCCACTGTGAAGACAGGTGTCCAGCATGTACAATTCTTCATTTTAAAAATCGAACACTTTATAAAGTGAATTTAAGTTCGTGAGTTTATAGCATAGTTTTGAGATAGTGAGCATTGAAGCTTGTGTTCTTATTTTTACAGTTACTGCTTAAAATCAGTATGCTTGTTCCATCTAATGTTCCTTGTTCTTTTCTATTCTGCAGCACTTCATGTTACGATCAGAGTGTGAACATTTAATTCGTCAGGGAATCTTGGAGCACATTGTACATTAGAGAGAGAAAAAAGAAATATTTCCAAACTGTGAACATATTTTGACTACCCGATCCAAGGATGCAAAAAGCTCAGAAGAAAGTCTCTGGACAAAATTCTTAATATTCAAGAATGATTTAAGTAATTAAAGATATTACAAATTCTTAAATGTATGTAAGGAGATCTACATGTATTATATATGTATGTTCAGGGTATAAGCAAATGTTGTCAAATATATTGGACTTGCATAGTGACTGGGGTGTCCTTCAATCTGTCCATTTTGGGATAGCTATACCTTATCTGCAACTTCTCTTACATTACTACATCACTAAATGCAACTCAATGGAAAAAAATCTTTACATACTGGCATTGTGCATTCCTGTTTTACTTTTTGATTAGAAACATATTAGGGGTTTCCCATAGCAAAACATGGATCCAGTCATTCTTTCTGTTATGTTGGGGTCACACAATTCTTCATACCCTAACCCAACTTGAACAGAATACTACATTGTTTCATTGTGCATATCTTATTTTGATATAAAGGAGGTTTTCACTCTGTTAACACAAATCATTATAAAATATCTTAAAGAAATTCAATGATGAAGCTTCTACGGAATCTCATTTACTGCCTGGAGATGCAATTTGCCATTATACTTAAGGCGGGGGAGGGGGGGGGTCAGTTGTAACTTCAGTGCTCACAGTAACTTGTAGTTTATGATGAAATACAAAAAATATGTACGTTCTTGGCCATTCTGTTTTAATAATTCATGTATAGATGTAAAATCAATGTAAAAATGAACAGAATCTATATAATGCCGAGTTCATATCACTGTTTGTTGAGATCATCTAATGATTTTGTTTTATAATAAAATGTATTATACCTGTACCTGCTTTACCAAGTTGTTTTATTTGCCTGCATCAGATTTCTCCATTATTCATTAGATCAGTTGGTTGAATTAATCTACTCCTAGTAGTTCAAAAATTTCATTGAAAAATGATACAAGGTATCATCTGAATATGAGTGTTTCAGAAAGACAATAAATATACATAATCTTTTAAGTACATCTTGATAATGTTTTTCTTGCCATGTTCATAGGCAATGAAATCAATAGTTTATGCCATAGTACCAAATCATGGTACCTAAATTATCAAATGAAATATCACCATTATTAGCTCTTCTGAGCAGAAGGCTTCGAGAGGTCATCTATGGCCATGTATGTGGTGTGTTTTTATACCCCCCGCTTGAAAAGTGGGAGGGTATAATGTAATCGGTATGTCCGTTTGTCTGTACGTTCATCCATCCATCTGTCTGTTACGCTTTGGGGTACCCATCTCTTATCCGCATCTCCTCTTATACCACTGAGTGAAATTTAATGAAACTTTCACAGAATCTTCATTACATATTGCCATTGTGCACCTCCTATTTTACTTTTTGATCCGACACTTATTTTGGGTTTCCCGGCCACAGCAAAACGTGGACTTTGCCATTATAACCATATGGGAGGCGGGGGTATCATTTAGTAAGCTCATTGCTTACAGTACCTCTATTTTTTAATAATATCTAAATCTACTTCATAGCTGACTTAAATTGATGATTTGTTAAAAAAAACTTAGATATTTTACCCATTATAAGGACTAGGATTTTCAAATCTTGTCAGTTGATGCCTCTCAGGACCTTGTAGTTCATGGTGATGTACTTTTTAGCTCACCTAGACCAAAGGCTCATTTAATGAGCTTTTCTGATCACATTTTTTTCTGTTGTCCAACTGTCTGTCCATCCATCGGTAAACTTTTCACATTTTCGACTTCTTCTCAAGAACCACTGGGCTAATTTTAACCAAACTTGGTACAAAGCATCCTTGGATGAAGGGGGAGTAAATAATGTTAAAATAAAGGGCCAAGTCCTGTCACTAGGGGGAATAATCAAGAAAAGACAAAAATAGGGTGGTGTCTTTAAAAAATTCTTCTTATCAAGAAACACTGAGCCAGTAAAGCTGAAGCTTATGTGGAAGCATCCCGGGGTAGTGTAGATTCCAAATTCTTCAAATCATGACCTTGGGATGTTGGGTGGGGCTACAATAGGGAATCAAAGTTAGATGTATATAGGAAAAAGATTTTTAAAATCTTCTTCTCAAGAACCACTGGGCCCGAAAAGCTGAAACTTATGTGGAAGCATCCTGGGATAGTGTAGATTTTAAATTGTTCAAACCATGACCCCTGGGGGTTGGGCGGGGCCACAATAGGGAATCAAAGTTTTACATAGAAAAATATTGGAATTTTTTTTTTTAAAAACTTCTCAAAAACTAGTGGACCAGAAAAACTAAAACTTATGTGAAAGCACCCTTGGGTAGCATTGATTCTAAATTGATCATATCATGATGCCCGGGGGGTTGGGCAGATCCACAATAGGGAATCAAAGTTTTACATAGAAATATATAGGAAAAAATTTAAAAATCTTCTTCTCAAAAACCACTGGACCAGAAAACTAAAACTTATGTAAAAGTATCTTTGGGTAGCATAGATTCTAAATTGTTCAATTCATTACCCCCAGCGGAAGGGCGGGGCCACAATACGGAATAAAAGTTTTACATGGAAATGTATAGGAAAAACTTCAAAAATCTGCTTCTCAGGAACTACAGGGCCAGAAAAGCTGAAACTTATGTGGAAGCATCATGGGGAAGTGTAGATTTTAAATTGTCCAAATTTGATGGTCAATGACCCCCTTGGGTCACAATAGGTATTACAAGGGGGAAATCTGATTAAGAACAGCATGGTCAAAGCAATTCAGGTGAGCGATGTAGACCATGGGCCTCTTGTTTAAATTTTGAAGGTATTAATTATGCGCCCTGATCGATAGGTCCGGGGCGTATATTGTTTTTGTCCTGTCTGTTTATCTGTTTGTCTTTTGTCAACCTAAACCTTCGCCATAACTTTTGAACCGTTAGAGATAGAAACCTCATAATATATATATTATTTGGTATGCATAATCCACTAATTAAGTTCTTTCAAATGACACCAAGGTCAATGACCTTGTGACCTTGACTGTGACCTATATGGCAAAAATATTTTTTAGGAACTTTGTTGTCACCGGGCGCATAGTGTTTCACAAACGCATCTTAATTGTTTTTAGATTAATTTTAATGCATATCTTGGACATTATGATGCCACTGATCTTCAAAACTTGTCAGGTGATGCATCTTGGGGCCTTGAAGTGTGTCAACTAAAAGTTTGGTCACCATGAACCATTTTGTGAATTTTAGGAATAACCTTGTTTTATAACATTTAGCTCATCATTTCGCATGCTGAGGTTTACAATCGTTCAACCTTGTAAGTTGTACTATCAGTAGCTCAGTTGATAAAGAGCTTGCTCCCTGACCAGGGTCCTGGGTTCAATCCCTGGAAGCAACTAACCTAAGTTGATAAAAATAGGTAGCAAGTGTTCCTTTGCTAAGCACTAGGCACTGTGAATCGAAAGTTGCAGGTTCTTTGAATGAAACTTTAACATCCCAAGCCCTGTGTCAGAGCATATGCAGGCATTGGCATCCCAGACTCTGCAGTGAAAGATCTCGAACTGTTCCATGACCTCAAGTGCTGAATAAAGGTCTAAATCTGAAGCCATTTGATGGTATGTGATGACATTTCTATATAGTGTAAAAAAATCTCTAATGGGAGGGATGTTAACAACCAACTAACTTGTAAGTTGTTGACCTTGGAGTCTTGAAATGTTTCTTAGAAAGTAGATCATAGTTACCTAGTTTCTGAATTTTTCAGGTATTTATTTATGAATTGATTTTGATGTAATTTTATACATTGGACACTGCAAAGTTTGGGATCATCATCCTTGTCAGCTGACACGTCCTAAGGTCTCGGAGTATATTAGCAAAAACATATAATTTTTATTTTTATTAATTAAATTATCAATAGAGTGCCACTCTTATACACCAGAACCACGACGATCACTTTACCCTGACCATATTCACAATAACCCCCTTCCCCTTTTTTTGATGGGTTTGAAGCATTTTAAAAAATATAGAGCTTTTTAAAACTTGTAACGTTTGTCTCTGTTATATAGTACATGTATAACAACATGAATTATATCCATACCTCGAGGCAAAGATCATTTATCTCCTCTCCTGCGACAATTATGCTATTTGGTGGACTGACAGACTGACTGACCAACAGACAGCAGCAAATCAATTTGCCCTCCCTTTTTTGAAGGGTGTATAATTACTATACGGTAATGTATAATTATGAATACATCATTGTTCAGTCTATAGTGTATGCATTACAAAAGTAGATACAATATAAATCAAAAAATCTTTGTGAAGCTTGATATGACATCCTTCAGTTCAGCAACATTAAAATGTATCAGGAAATCTGTTCTTAGGTACCTTATAGATTGTAAGAGCAGAGCATGCTAGTCCTTCTGCTGGTCCACAGATCACTTGATAACTCTGCAGCTTGTCAATGACAATCTTACAGAGAAACAATTAAATGCACATCCTCCTTCTGTAACAAAGTAGTTTTGTCAGTTTGATAGGCATAACACATCTTATGAAAAATCAATTTTCTTAAGAACACCAAAGAAAAGATAGATTTTATTATCCCTGTATGGTGCAGATTCATATTTTTCAAATCATAGCTTTAAGTACGTAGGTTGGCCAAACATTCAGGGGTATGAATGCTTCACATGGAATTCAGATACTGTAGAAATACATTTTTCCGTGTGGTATTAATTTACGCTATGAACGCAGTCACAAATTTTCCGCGTAAATTTGTCCAAGCATACTTATATAAATGTAAGGCATATAGTGGCAGTCTAAGAAATATGCGTAATTTTCAACTCACGGATGAAACAGAAATTTAGATTCCATGGAATTATGACCCTATGGAAAAAAGTAACTCTACAGTATATATACCAGGAAAATCTAAAATTACATGTAGAGATGGACATGGATGTCAGCTGTCTTATGTTCATTTACGATAAGCAAAATGAAACAAGAAGTGTTTGTCAAACACTGATG